TTGCCAAAATTAACGGATATTTATAATTATGAAATTATTTAGTATTAGAATTATTTATTATTATCTGAATGTAAGTACAACGTCATCATTTTTTCCTTTTTCTCAAATGAATATTATTTTGTATTTATTTCTTTCCAGGTAAACAATTTTATATCGGACAGTCTATTGGATATTTCAAAAATTGCGAAAAGAAATGATGAGGTAGGAGGACATTTTTTTATTCATATTCCACTTACTTGGTGTTCAGCCTTTGGTGCCATGGAGGAAGATGCTGGATAAACTGTATTTATATGTGCGAGTCCACACAAGATATTTTTTAATTCTTGAAGTAACTATACACCAACTATATCACTTGAGATTCACTGCACGATAAAAGTATGTTTAATATTTAGGAATTGTTTTATTCCAGAGACTGGAAACGCACTTGGGGGCACCATGCCATTGGGTTTTCTTAAAGTACCCCTTGGACGAGCGTCCAATTATCGGAAAGGGATCCTTTCCACTAAGGGAAAACGATCAGAATACTCGTTACAAGATACGTAATTTTATTAATTTGTATTACGGCGACCCTTCGTCGCTCTGACTCGCTCAGCATTCACTCGCCAACTTACTTCGCATCTGCACATCGCACAGCACACACTCCACTCCATACGTACCCTTCTTAAATGTCGAAAAAGACAATATCACGCCAGATCGGCAATTCGCGGCAGTCTTTGCAAATCGCAACTGCCCGAGAAACTTGAAACTTTGTAGATAAAAGTTCGAAGCGGGACGATTGACGAGTCTCCAAACCGCCGGTCTCGGCGGATCCTCCACGCGCAATTTGACGACACGTGTCTGCTCGCACCCCATATTTGGATGCGCACATGCAACTCTCATATCCACAATATATTAACTTACATAATTACTTAATTTTGCAATCTTTGATTGCGGTAATTTATTCGCACTAGTTCTTGAAGTTAACTGTCTACATGTACCTGCGTTGCTTTTTCTGTATCTGCTAAACAACTATTTTGAATTGTATTTTCAGTAAAAATGGATGCAATAGGCCTTATTTGTTGCGTTGATATTCCAGGTTCCACGGATCTATCGATGTCCACCGATCCAGCTTCTTCGTGCACGTGTCGATTGGCTTTCACTATCGTAAAACGTTTGCGTTTCAAATGTTCATATAAATTCAGTGTTTCTTGAATTTTCAATTTTCTTTTACACAAGAGACACATAGCACTTGTTGGCGTTTTTCGTTTAAAATTTCATTCACTGTTCTCTCTTTATTCAACGATGTTAGCACTTCGAAATCTGCTCGTGGACTGACTAAGTCTTTGGTTCGTTCTGTGCAGGTCCGAGCTTGCGTCCAGGCATTTATTTATATTAACGTTCGGTGGATCGCGCTAACGAGATCCACCGAGGAGATAAGTACCTCTTCGGTGTGAGATCTTTTAATTTTAAATGAATACTTTAGATATTTCTTTCATGTATTGTAGGAAAAATCGCAAGGGAAATACGTTCTACAATTGCATTTCCCACCAGTTATATATGTTTCTCTTTCATCTTTCAATTTTGATTACTAAAAAACTGAATTTTCAAATTTCTTAATAATTTTTTATTTCTTTCCTATATATTGTAATTAAAAGTCTATTAATAATTAAAATATATAAATAATAGGATTTATATATATTATGTATTAATATATAAATAATAAAACAATGTATTTACGGCTGTCATCAATTACTTCAAGTGCTTAAAAAGTGCAATAATACATTTCATAATAAAATAAAAGCCATTCAAGAGTAGACCATCGAGCTATCGATATAACAACCGCCTGAAGCTGGTTCATTTATTTATTTATACCATTTCTCTCGTACTGAACAGGCTCAAGATCGAGAAGTCTGTTTAACCAATGAAGTCGATAATTCAGAAAATCAGTCGATCGACTTACTCGATAGCAGTCGATGGTGTCCATTACCACATCTACTTATAATAGTTGTTACAGAAAATTTTAGAAAGTATATATTAACCCTCGGTGTATTAACTTAAGCTTCATTTAGGTGCTATCAGAGTGGTTAAATTGAATACAATATTTTTATCCTTACAAAACTAAATCAACTGCTTATTCATAAATCTACTGCTTAATTCGAGGATAAAAGACAGATAGGGAACGAACGGGATACTATTTAATCAGAAACATGAATAATCGTATGCGAGCGCGCGAAAGTTGACGAAAACGGTGCGAGTGATATAGTGACAGACAAAACCAATAAAACGTATCACAGCGGTGGTCTCTTTGGGTGGGGAAAATCAATAGAAAACTGAGTTTAAATCACAAGTATGGGTCATTAACGTCTAAAGATGAATCAAGTGATAATATTTTTTAATATTGAATAAACGTCTCCCTGCTGGTAAAATCATTGATCGATGATGCTTTCAAAATGTACATATTGCTACTTGACGTACACACGAAAAACCAAACATAGTGCGTAACATGGTTATCTCTATTTCTATCAGCTGTGTTTATTAAAAGGAAAATGTTAAGAAACGACGTGACGTTTTCTTGACATCTAATTCGTAGAACGAGACAACGTGTTGCGTCTAACAATGTTGATACGTCAAGAAATATTGTCAATCTGCTTTACGTTATGCATCTCATTAAGTGTCAACTTTGTTGAAAGCACGCATATTACGGGTACATTTAATACGAAGGAGTTCTTTCGGTTTCTCATTAAATTCGGTTTTCAAAAAACTGATCGTCATCGACAAAAAGACTCTTATGGATACATATTCGGTAATGTGACATCGAAGAGTAACTTTTCTATGCCAATCACATTGGCAGTTTTAGATCGTGGCCACTTTTTAGAGTATTATGGTAATCGTACATTGAGCGATAAAAATACTGCGTGCACGCTTATGTTTAATACTTTGAATCAAAGTTCTTACGATGTGCACTGTAATGAGGAAGGTCAAGATTTTCTGAGGTATGTTCTTTAGAATACTCCAGTACACTTAATTGGGTTCATTTCATTTATTCATGTTTTATCTTTTGTTAAGGAGAGTACCATGCCCAAAGGGTAAATTATGTCCAGATGAGGACTCCATATGGAATATTGTAAAAGGATATCAATTCACATATGTCATACAAGACTTTTGGCAACCACGCTTTTGGTATATGAGTCTAGTGGCTTGTTACAGAAATATAACTACTTGTCAGTGGGAGTACTATGATAAGCATGATGAATTAGAATATGATATTTGGCTGGTAAATGGGAATCCGAATACTAGCGGTCTAAACAGTTTGACTTATCAATTTTCATATGATAGACAAAATACCACAGAATTGTACTTGCTCTTTTTTATGTGTTATATCATACTTGTGCCACTGCAGTTATATGCTGTTAGATTACAAAAGCATCCTGTGACAAGATTATTCACAGCTAGTCTGTTATTAGAATTTATAGCATTGTGTTTGATTTTAATACATGTGTTGAAGTTTGCTCTTGATGGTATGGGCTATGAACAGCTAGAAGTTGCTGGAGATATTTTTGATATTCTGTCAAGAGTAAGTTTTAATAAATGTCGACATGATGAATGACTGAATGGATTACGTATTTAGATTCTTAATGATCATATTTTTATTTAGACATCATTCATGTTACTCCTACTTTTACTTGCAAAAGGATGGGCTGTAACTAGAATGGAATTGACATGGAAGCCATTAGTTTTTGCCATATGGCTTTGTTATGGTGTGGTTCATATTTTATTGTACGTCTGGAATATGGTATGCATCGATTTCTATTCATTTAAAGATGTAGGTATTCTTCAATTACAGAGGTTATATTTACAGACCGAGGTTGATATTATTGAGGATATTGATGAATACCAAACATGGCCAGGATGGTTTATACTTTTATTCCGTAGTGCAATAATGATTTGGTTCTTATGCGAACTTAGAAACACTATGACATATGAACATAATACTCAGAAGTTAAATTTTCTACTTCACTTTGGTGCATCCTCATTAGTCTGGTTCATTTATTTACCTATCATAGCGCTAATAGCTCTCCAAGTGAGTGCGCTTTGGAGATTCAAACTTCTCTTGGGTAAGTAAAAAAATGATAAAATTGTAGTTCCTCATTCTCATGTACGTACCATATGCATAGGTATTACGTACTCTGCTGATTGTTTTGCATATTGTGTGATGGCACATTTACTTTGGCCGACACGAAGTGAACAGTACTTTTTACTTGCACAAGGAGCAGACAATGGAGACGAACTCGATGAATTTAACGAGGCACCGCATGTATTGAACAATTACGTAGAACCTCCGGAACTTACTAAAATAATTGCTTAATGTCGATAGACAGACGGCAAAGTATTATACATACATATGAAAAGTCGAACTAGATCATAAATCGACTTACACTATTTGCCAAATTATAAAGTTTTATAGGATTGATAAATACTCCGCTATATACTACTTGAGACTGACATATTCTGCACACTGTGTAATTAGAGATATACTACTAATCAAATTTACATTTGTGATAGGAAGTCAATAATTGACACAAGGAGAAAATGGGTGAGCATGACATGAGTATGTTTATGTCGTTTTTTATTAAAAAATAAGGTAAATACTGGAGGTCCCAGAACTAACACTACACCTGGGAATAGGAAGTTTCCAATGAAATAGCTAACAACTTTATAAATTGCAGAATTGGTACAAGTATGAAAAATGGGACGAAAATTAGAGTTCAACTTACTACTTCGTCGGAAGGGCACCTGTTCTTAGAAGAATGTCAATCGGTCATTGTGCCGGCCTTTGGCATTCGAAGATAGAACCCCACAGCAATTAATATTTGGAGCAGGTCAGTGACAATTCTTTCCTTGTGCTATCACTGCCACTTTCTCACTAGTAAACTCTCACGAAATAAAAATTGTCATTTTTATACACAAAATTCACTGTCACATTGCACTTTGCACTTTAAAATTTGTACCATGTTTTTGTTTTAATTGTTGACCCCGACTGGATACTGTTTCCGGAACAACTCCACTACTGCTATCGAGTTACAACCCGCTTCCGCGTAAATAACGTAAAATATTTCGCGTTCGTTAAGACACGCACCGTTCTGTTTCGTAGCGCGCGGCAGAACCGAATGACCGGTCTCTGGAAGATTTTCGTAGAGAAAGTCTTTCCCCACTTGATGGACAACTTCGGTAGGGACAACGTGTTTGCTTTTTTTAACCAAAGCCTACCTTCGTTTCCTTGTCACTTTTAGGAATTCACCACTTGGAAAACACACGAACCGATGACAAAAGGCAGCTTACAGGCTTACACTTACCAGATGCGAACGCCGCATTACCCTTTGTCGTACACATTGCTGGGCGCGCGCTGGCCAAGACCCTGCAATAAAATCGTAAAAATGAAAACTCCGATTCTCTTCGAGTACTCATTGCCGTCGGCGGCAATAAACACTACCTCCTAAAAATTCTATATAGCGAAGGATTTCTTCCTATGGATTATATTAACCACTGCTAGATATGAAGGACAACCGCAGGTTGTCATTACTCATTACGTGAAATACGACTCGTATGCTTCATATCTGGTAGAAAGTTTCTATTTCTAATGCAATTACTTCCATTGCAACAAAATTCATAAGTCAATTGCAGGGGGAGTTAGAAATACAAATATATTAGATTACTCATGACAGTCGTACTCAACATCTGATTGATGTGTGCCACGGGTATTGCCAAAATTCAGGTATACGTGATTTATGACCTGCGGTTGTCCTTCATACCTAGCAGTGGTTAATATAATCCGTAGGAGGAAATCCTTCGCTGTATAGAATTTTTAGGAGGTAGTGTTTATTGTTGCCGACGCCTTTTTATGGGTACTCGAAGAGAATCGGAGTTTTCCTTTTTACGATTTTATTGCAGGGACTCTCGGCCAGCTTGCGCCCAGCAGTGTGTACGACAAAGGACAATTCGGTGTTCGCATCTGGTAAGTGTAAATCTGTGAGCTGTCTCTTATCATTGGTTCGAGTGCTTTGCACTTGGGGAATTCCTAAAAGTGACAAAGAAACGAAGGTAGGCTTTAGTTAAAAAAAAGCAAACTCACTGTCTCTACCGAAGTTGTCCACGAAGTGGGAAAAACATCTGCCCGAGACCGTTCATTCGGTTCTGTCGTGCGTTACTAATATTTTAAAGTGTTCGTTATTTGCGCGTTATATCCCGCGTTCATTATTGAAGCGGATTGTAACTCAATAGCAGCAGTGGAGTCGTTCCGGGAATAGCATTCTGGTCGGGGTCAACAATTAGAACAAAAATGTGGTGCAAATTTTAAATTGCGAAGTACAAAGTAATAGTGAATTTATGTGTAAAAATGACAATTTTTGCTCGTGAAAATTTGCCAGTAAGAAAATGACAGTGATCGGGTAAAGAAAGAATTGTCAGGTATAGGTCACTGACCTGCTCCAAACATTAGTTGCTGCGGGGTTTTACCTTCGAATGCCGAAGGACGGCACAATAACCTATTGACATTCTTCTAGGAACGGATGCACTTGTCGACAAAGAAGTAAGTCGAACTTTAATTCTTTTCCCATTTTTCATGATTTTACGTACTCTGTAATTTCTAAAGTTGTTAGTTATTTCATTAAGTATGTTACGTTTATTCAGTAACGACTAATTGCTTTCTTTTCTCTGATATTTAATAAATTTGTTAGTCGTTTTTGCATACGACTTTTCTTTAATTCTTCGATCTCGTTACACGCTCGTTGTACGGGGGCAGCAACATCCAAGACAGTTGTGCACCTGATTACTCGCTATACGAGCGCTCTGATTAGTTGCGGTTTTTCGTTAATAATTCAATGACCACGCCTCAAACACCTTGTCTAAGGAAAATACTGTTTAAAATCAGAGTCCTCCCATTTTCGGGCGTAGGATTAGTTCTAGGACACCCTGTATAATTGGGTTGTAGCTGTTGTAGATGTAAAGAAACATTGTTGTCTAATATACAGGGTCATAGAAAAATATCGGTCTCCCCTAACATTTTTAGTTACAATGCAGTTACGTTGAATATGATCCGAACAAAATTCTTGGGGTCATTAAGCACTAAGCTAGTACTTAATGATCCAAAATTTTATTTCATTTCCAATGAAAATGCATTCTAACTGAAAATATTAGCGGAATCCGATACTTTTCGATTATTCTGTATAAATATTATGCCACTGTATATAATAATGATAGCTATCATTAATACTTAAGAGTTTATTCTGTTATGTACAGTAGTACCTATATACAAATAGTCTCTTCATTCATATTTTTTACTATTTATAATACTGTTAACCAGAATCTTCCTATTACCATAATGTAGTACCTTTTTACCTTAATTTACTCATGTCATACTCTTGGATCATAAGAATTCAGCATACGTATATCAGCCATTGACCTTTACCCATGACCGTTTAGTAAGTGTAAAAGAATTCAGTAAGGTAATCATACAATTCTATCTACAAGAATTTTTAATCTTATATTATCCTATGCATTTTTCATGTACATTTTTCTCTCGGTACACATCTTATATTTACATTTGTTCTGTATAAACGCTATTTTAATGCATATTCTAGGAAAGTACGAAATCTAAAACTAAATCAGTATAACTTTAATGAAACACATTTATATAGAAACATGTATGATTGTAATATTGTATAAATGAAATTGTGTATTAATATATTATACACAAGTTTCTCATAAATCATATTCTAGATGCATTCATAATTTTTTCAGTATTATATTGCAGGAACTATAATACGTAACATGTATTCAAAATGAAACAAAGATAATGAAATTATTATAAATATATCTTTTATATGTATTTTAATAAGGGGTGTTATGGTCTTAGAATTTTTTGGTCTAAAACTATTTTTTACATTTTTAAATAAATGTTGCACCAGCATACATGATGTCAGTATCGGAAGTTTAAATTTGGTTCTTTAACATTTCTTTGTCTGTTTATCAAAGATTTCCATAACTTTTTTGCTCAATTTTCTAACAAAGGAGTTAAACTGATAAAATATGTACTTTATATTATTTATAAGCTGAATACACATATATTCCAAGTTTGGTATAGTATTTTTATGATGCTAATGTTTATAAAAGGGGAAAATATCGGTGATAAAACATCTTCATAAAACATGCTCATAAAAAATGTAAATGGTGTGAATTAAACAGATCTTTTCAATTATGTAATAACATACTACCTTTCTTTTTCTGTTATAAAGAGGATCAAACTGTTTTATAGAACGTGTACAAATTTTTATTGTATTTTTAACATATAACTCGGAAATTTGTAAATTATTGTATGTAAATCTATTTAAGAAAGTACCTATCATTACTTATGTTGGCAATCTCAAAAAAATAAAAATGTGCAAATTTTGCTGGCACAAGCTTGCTGTATTCTACAATTGTATCATGAGAAAATAATCTAAATAACGAATGTTCGAATTAAAAATATGCTGAATATTTTTGTTAATACACGCAGTTTTTAAAGAATACATTTCGCTTATACTTAATTATTATACTAAGCTGGTAGACGGGCGTAAAACTTAAGTTATTCAATAAAGGATTAATCAAAATAACATAATTTCAAAAGAGATGAGTATAAATTTATTTGAAATTAGTTGATAATTACTTTTTTGTACTTCTTAAACAAAACTAACTTTGTACATTTAACAAAACTTTACAATAGTTTCAAGTTTGATGTAAGGTCGTCTATCAATTCGGTTGGGCCAGGTCCTATTCCAAGCGTAGAAATTGTACCAGGTTGCAATTGAGTTTTACCTGCATCTCTTATTATAGAAACAATTAAACCAGATTTATATGCACTCTGTGCTAAGTTCAGTAAATGTTGTTCATTAGATGTTCTTAATACAACTTTAGGTTGACCCTGTACCAACCACGACTCATAAATTGATTTATATTTAGTATTAACTGATATCTGACGGTAACATTCTACTGCAGCATGAGCACATTGTGCAGCAGTTTTACCTTTTCCCATAGCTATGTCAGATCTGACGATAAGTACCATTTTATAATGTCCATTAGCAGTATACTTTATAGGATAAATAAAAATGCGTTTCAAATAGTTTGTTATTGACATTATTATTAATTCGTATATGATTTTTCTCGATTTCTTTGATGCTCTTCCATGCACACTTTAAACTTTTTTACTTGTTCCTGACACTTTCTCCAATCTTGAGTTTCTGCTATACACTCCTAAAGAAGTGTATAAAGAACTATCATACATTTTAGAAATGACATATTTTTATACTTATGAATCCGAGGTTAATACTTGAACTTGATAGTGGAGATCCATACAACCAGTCCTTTTTAACATTTCTTCAACGGGATCTTCAACATCTTTTTGTTGCGTAGTTAAATTAGGAATCATTTTACACTCAATTGGTATATATGTTTACATAATAGTATGAAAAAGTTTAAACCAACAAACTTCGTCGACATTAATTGAGGTTCTTTCACGTGGTCATTGCAATATAGCACATCAATAGCATGTATGTTTACGTATACATAGGTCGACGATCATTTCTAATGGAAATAAAAAATAATCAATGCTCGATTACAACAGTACTGAACAACATAATTATTTTAATTTAAAAAGATTGATTTACAATTTACACGAGTTACTTGTTCTTCAACGTAAATATATACTTTATTTAGGATAAGATGCATCGTTACTTTTCGCAATTGCTAATGTTTATGAAATATATAAAGTTCTCCGTTAAAATATAATGATAAAATTAAAAAATTAATGGAAATAATTGAAAAATTGTTTATATGTAATTTAATGAAATAAACAAATGATGAAATTGTATATAAGCTTAAGCACGGTGTCATATGAGGCGCTAGCTTCGGTATAATGGCTGGCTGCAGGTGCAGGTTGCTACGGTTGCTACCATTGAGCTCTACATCGTTGCTGCGGACTGCTGCCATATGAGTTCTCCAGTGGAGTAGTAGACGACAATAAGTCATAGCGTAGTAGAGACGCATATATGACAAGTATTATGTTTGATCCAGCATTGGGGCAAGAAATCTCATACGATGGTAGTGGGGATAACCTACCAATATACCTAACCTTGGTAGGTTATCCCCACTACTGTCGTGAGGGATTTCTTGTCCCAACGCTGGACTTTGATCCCGCATGTGGTCACTATTGTACTGTTCCTTGTTTTTTATGTGCCGTTGTTGTTGAACAAATTTAAATAAGTGTTGTCAGGGACTGTGTATTCATATTCGGATCGAGACTGTGGCCGGTATTCAGAGTCGTTGCTCATTTTTAAGATAAGTCCCTGTTTCCTGTACAAGACAAGGATTGGAAATATGGGATAGACAGGGATACGAAATGCTTAAGACGACCTCAAATATAAGAAACGACTTTGAATACCGGCCTGTGTTTACAATAGATTGTTAAGTGTTCATCTGCCGACCACTAAGGGTAACATTTTCGTAAGTATTTATCAGATTTCTTTTACCGCGATGACTTAAACGAATGCCTTTCTTTCATGAATTAGATAATCTGTCAATCGAAGTTACTCAGTAAACATATATTTTACGTATGATTTGCATCTTTCTCTTACAAGTTGCAATTCTTATTGATAGGCTGATATAAGAATCCCATAATGCCATAGCACGTGGGTAACACACATTGAATATGAATGTGTGGGTAACATATATTGAATGTGAATGTTTTACCCACGTGCTATGGTATTATGGAATTCTTATATCTATGAAACCAAAAACTGGCGTAATTGAAAAAAAACTATGAATTTTTTTAACTGGATCGTCATCAATTATATTTCAATTGACAAATTTTTATATAATGTAAGCGTATTCGTGATATTCATATAACGATCATCTGTAAAAAATTGTGTATCAATAATTAGATTGCATTGTATATTTAAGCAGTTAGCCTGGTAGGAGAAAGGTGTTAAATGATAAGTTGAACTCTTGTAGACAAGGACATCGATACCTTAATTTATATGTTATTCTAATAAGCTGCATCAATTATAAATTTTCATTACGAATGAATTATTCCCACAAACGTTTATTTGTTCCAGAGAAATATATATCTCTAACTGACTTAGATTCCAGTAGACTATTCAAATACCAGGCCGCTTTATTAATTTAAACAAAGTCCTTTTAATATTCGATATTCGTGACTAGATATAGTTTTCATGAAGTTTAGAACATTACATAAACATGAAGGGTAGTTCTTTTCAATCTTAATTAAAAATGTAGACTTTTATAGGTCGGTATTCAGAGTCGTTACATATGTTTAAGATCGTCTTAAGTATTTGCTTATATCCCTGTTTCCTGTAAAAGACGGATTGGAGATATGGAACAGGTAGGGATAGGAGATTCGCGCATAGTTTCGCGCTAAGTAAATCAGCGACATCTGGAAGTAATAGAAGCTTTGATTGGTTCGTTCCAATCTTCCCGCTAGGCGGCTACCATCACTTGCTGTACTAACTTTCTCACTGGTGGTCATATTAGCTATGTGATTACTATATAAGAGCAGAGCGTAGCATTAGCTTTCGGGTAGTCCGATGCTTCCCGGGAAAAACCAGCGCATTATGCGGCCTATTTACAGACCACATCATGTTGTCCGGTACTTCACGTACAGCAGAACCGCCGTCGTCCATCGAAAAATCGTTTGTTTAACTTGTAAAACTTTGACTGTGGAAGTGACGTTGACTATCTCTTTTGTATTTATTTTCAAGTCTATGTATTATCTTTTATTTTATTCCTTGTAGCGTTACAAAGTTCTTCTAGACGATATATTTACTAATGTTAATAAAAACCGTGTACGCTTTGGTTTTAAAGTCCGCTTTACGCAACTGCTATGAATTATTTCATACGTCGATAATTTAATTATCGCTAAGTTTCAGTTCAATTAAAAATCTAGTGTTAATTGTACCACAAGTACAATACATTTAACAAGTGACCCTATTTGAAGATACAATTATTTATAGTAATTTAACAACTGATTTGAATAGAAACTTCTTTTATCACATAGATATATTTCTATATATTACTTACGTTCTTCATGTGTTAATCTTTCTACAAACGTAGCAAATCCGAAGCCTATTAATTAGATTGCGATACCTAATTGTCCTGAACGTTCGAAATTACTGTTTCTAAGAACGCATAAACATTGATACCGCGGCCACAGGAAATCAGAACAAAGGTCATACAAATTATTTAACAAGGAAGCGTGTGTGAGATTTAACCGATACACAGTTAATTTTAGAGTGTCGTCGCCACTGTTGGCCGTGACCACGGCAGAACCGCGTCAGAACGGTACGCGACACACTGCACTGATTGTGAGACGAGAGAAATAAAATATAAATAGGTACAGTGCGAGTAATATACGTAACCGGTTTCGCGGCCAGACGGACTGACGAAAGGTAAGGCGAAACGGCCAAAAAGCTCCGACGCTTCACGCTTTCAGGCTTTTGGCTAAACCGTGCGCCTGACCTATCTCTGAACAGTGTATTTATGAAACCGTCGCAGCACTGATAATAACTTTTTGCTGGGTCCGATCCTCCTTTTCCAGCTAAAAAAGTTCATATCTTCCCAGTCTGACCGTTATCGCAAACGTAGAAAATCGTCGGCGCGCGTGGTGTGTCGTTACCCGTCGCGTTTTCATCGGATCGCGGATAATCCGCGACAATCCGCGTGCATGCCATTCTTACGTGGATATTGATTAAATTTTGTTTATTTGCAATTAGATCATGAATACAGACAAACAGAAAGAGAGTGTGAGTAAAGAGTCGGAGAACGAACGTTTGGGAAACGTTGAAATGGATAAGACTGAGAATGGAGGGTTTTCACCTTCGCAAATGGAGCGTACGCAAACTGGCCGCCAAACAACTATCTTCAAGTATTACTCGTTCAAGGACAGAGGTGAGCTAAATCGACATCTATACATATTTTAAATATTTTTATCTACTTGATTTGTGATTAAGATCCTCTAATTTTTCAATGCGCGATCTATATTTTCATTCCTGTCAATATGATAAAATTTAATAAATAAAAACTAGATACGCTTCATCAATTCCGCGAGTATTTTAATTTAATGAATCACTGAATGAATAGATGTCTAAAGATTATTATCGAACGTCAGAGTTATGTGATTTACTATTGATGTACTATCAATTTGCGCGAGCTGCGGTATTCTGTATAACTTTCTCATAAGACCTTGACTGTCTGATATTTGTTTCTTAATACATATATGATAAGGAAATATCGACTTTTAATCTATGCAAGTTCATTTCATTTCATGATTAAAGGAATATTATTCGGAAATTGATGTCCTTTATGCAGAGCACAGAAAGGCAAATACGATCGTATGGTACATTATTTTTGCTTCACCGAGAATTCACCCGGTTCCCCAAGTCTTTTTCTGTACAATACAGGAATAATGTCGGAGTCCTAAGTCCAGGAGCCTATGGTCTGGTGACAGCAATCAATCTTTTCCGATCTTTCCGCTGTCACGGGTCATGGCTCGTCGCAGACTCACGCGAAATCGGAGTTCTAATACTTCTAATGTGCGCACGTCGACCTCGTTGCGCAGCGTGGAAGGAGCGCGCCTATTCGTTGTCTCACTGCACACAACCGTAGGACGGGTGACGTCGATCACGTATTGACAGCGATACTTGGGATCGTCTTTTGTCGCGAAATTCGGCATGTATCTCGAAAGACAAGAAAAACCTCATGCCGAAGTCCGAAAAAAGGAACTAACTCTCGCGAAATGTTATTTGTAATTGTCATTAAAATCGATCCGTACCTCGGAAAACCGAAAATTTGGAGGAGATTGAAGAAAATTGAAAATTTTTTTTTGTTGTTTATTATTAGCAATGTTCTTCCGACGTCTGATTTCTTTTTAAAAAATACGTTTCTAAAGTGTATAAACTTTTGGGATTGACTGTATAGCCAATACATCCTTAAAC